CCACCACCACCACCACCAGCGCACATTGAAGAGCTAGTAGGCCTACATTTTGCTAATCTTGGTTTCGGGCGGGGCAAACCACGCGTCAGACGTTACCATCTCAAATTCTTATTTCCAATTCCGTTCCAAATCGCATTGCGCAATCGAGGACAACGATAGGCAGAGTCAGATGAGGAAAAAGTCGCCAACCCCTCCCCCCTCCCTTCCCCCTTTTGCCTTTTGGCACCATCAAAGGCCCACCAGACACGCCGTCGTCGTCCTGATCAGTCGCGACCCGCAACTGACGGCAAACATCCCTCTTTTGTTAGTATCTACCGGCGCTTTTCTGAAATTTTTCGTTTTCTTGTACCGCAAGCTTCACGTCATGTAGTCATAGACGCTACATTCCCTCCACCAGGCGCCAGATATCCTTTTATTTGTTGATTACTACAAAACGTTTTCGTTTTTGTTCGCTCAGATAGACGCCCGGCCTCTGAAACTCAGGTACAATAAAAAGTACGCACGACCTTTGAAAAGGCAACTAGTTGATGCCTGGTATTTTCTCGTCACTAACGCGATCCGGCGGCTTAGCAACCAGGCGAAACGAGCCGAGCCAAGCGGCAGTTGTGGGGGTGGGGGAAGGCCAACGGGGACGAGCCGGACGGAGCGCAGGCGGCCAGGCGGCGTTGTGGGGAACATCACGATCGGGTCTTTGCCTTGGGGCCTAATGCGAATCCACTGAACAATGAAAAAGTCATGAGGTTTGAAGGAATTGGTGATATCTTAAGAAAGCAAAGGACCGAATGGTAAGTCCTCACTGTCTCTTCAATTATGTGTGACAAGTATTTGATGGAAAATTGATTTGCCAACGTGAAGGTGAGAAGTGTGGCTGAACCGAACGCTATCCCTCAGCTGTCCGCTTTGAAGAAGTGAGGAGTAAGAAAGGCTTCTGAAAAACGTAGCAGAATACTTATAATGGCTACGTTATTTTATCGTTTTAGTGTTTAAGTCGGAAAATTTTACCTCTTTGGGACCGCCAAATAAGCATTTATTGTAAGTATGAAACGTTTTTGAGAAATCTGCCCGACTGCGATAGCTGCGAGTGTGTTTGGATACTTCGCTTATCTCCGGTATCTGAAGGACAGACTTTGTGTCTGTGTGTATATCGCCTATTCAAATCATAATTAATTGGCCAAAATTGACTCCAAGCTGTGATCAACGCCCAGTCTTTTCCAAAAAGTCAAATTGCAGTGTTTTGGCTTCTTTGTTGTACTCCATACTCGTCAATTTGTTCTCAATCAAGCTTAATTGGAATATTATCTACGTCACGATACCCACCCCTCTTTACTTTATCTTCTGCTAAGTGACAACGAAAATGGCCGTTGCTATAGTAACAAATACCTTTAATGTACTGACCTTCATGCATGAGTGAAAGGAAGAGTTTAGGATGACCAATATTTTTTCCTACTTCCTGTGTCATTTATTAGTCGCCGGCCCAATCCCTTGTGAATGTCAGTTTAAGGTTAGAAGTTTGTTACATTATTTAAATCCATAATAATTCATTGACTCAATTGTACAATGTGTCCTTGGGGATAATTGTATTACCATGCTAGCCATGTACATGGTGAGAACACAAGATTACATATGGTATTCTTTTGTAGCATTTTTATTGTTATTTCAAGGAATGAAATATGATTCATCAGTTATATATATAAATGTTAAGTCATTCTAAAATCATATTACTTTTATTTTGTTTAGTACCCCCCAAAATTGCACCAAATTTATTTTTTTGCTATTCAGAAAATAAAATAAAATGAGTTTGTATCAGCAATGAATGAAGTTTACTTGTATATTACAAAATTGGCTCGGTTTTTGTTTTCAGGTTTGCTTGTTCAGATAACTCTTCACATTCTCAAGCTAAAATGCAGCCACCTTTTTTTGGAAAAGTTATGGAGCCCTGTGTTTGGATGCTGCTGGTCTAAAGACCTCCTCTGCCAGACCATCTTCCTGCCTGCCTGTCTGCTTGCCTGCCGTAATACAATTTGGAACGTGACGGCTTCCATTTTTATATCCAATGTCAGGGAACAGTTACACACCTGTTACCTACTACACAGGTTGTCAAGATGGCAATGTTTCACCTATTCATTCCCAGACGGGTGAACCAAAATCAGTTCAAGTTCTTGACATTAGTCAACCTATATCATATGAGTCTTTTACTTCTGACCCACGACATCTATATATGAGGCATCTAGATCCTGTGTATTCCACTATCATGAGAAAAGATGATAGGATGGAAAGAAAAACGTGGGACTTTGAACCTAGCCCTTTGGATAGAGAAATAAAACCAATGCTTTCTTCATCACATAATCCAATTAAATTAGAACCAGACCGATATGACCGCCATGATTTGGAAAGTTCTTGGTTGGAAAAGCTGCCCTATGACCCTTCCATGGCAAGTCGTAATGATACAAAATTAAGTTTGAATACCATTCCTATATCACCGTATTTGCAAGTGGCCGAACGATTTGTCAATGAACTGAGTGATCCTAAAGATTCATACGTTGATTCCCCTGTGGACACAGGAAGTCATTCTCAAGTAGAGATGAGCAGTTTGCTACCTGTGGTATCAGAGCAGGTTGGTCTGGCAGAGGACATAAGCGTCAGTCCCAGAGGTGATCATGAACACAGGTATGCATTGATATAAGTATCAATTTTATTTTTTTATTGAATGTGGTGTATAGTTGGTTGATAATACAATTTAATTTACATCTAAGATATTATTTTCTTTCCAGACCGGGGCTTGAGGAAGATGGAAGTAATTTGACATCAAATTCATATCCAATCAGTTTATATGCAGGTGTTAGTACAGGCACACCCTCTGTAAATTCTGAAGCTAGTGTCATAGTATCAACTAGTATCCATATCAACAGTTATGGACAAGATCTTGGTCAAGATGCGTCACAAGAATTGAGCCCTAACTCAAGCTCTAATACATCTCTTCAAGAGCCACCATTAGACAGATTTGCTTGTAATTCATGTGATAAAGTTTTTGTGAACCGGAACAAGTTATCTATGCACAAGCGAGCTCACCGAAAGAAGCACAAGGTACAGCAGAAAGCTGTCACTGATGCATCAAATTCAGGAGAATTGATGGGAGAGATTAGCACTTCATCTCAAGATCAGAAGCTGTCAACAGATAATGATGGTAGTTCATTCATTTGTTCTACATGTGGTCGTGGTTTTCGACTGAAAATGGCATTAGCATGTCACATGCGTTACCATGCTGAGGAGCGTACCTATACGTGTAATGATTGTAATCTGACCTTCTCTAGCCGTTGGGTAAGAAGTCCTCAGCTTTGTGACAAATGCAGACATGGTCCTGGTGCTAAACCTGTTCCAAAACCATGCAGGTATGCAGCTTTATTAAAAGTTTCTCTCTTACATAAAATCCATTTGTGCTCCAATTAATGCTTTTTAAATTCTAGGTGTGAACGTTGCGGTAAATGCTTCAAGGATGCCCGCTTACTGCGAGACCACACACGATCCCACACGGGTGAGCGTCCATTTGCCTGTCAAGTTTGTGGGAAAACCTTCGCTCAGTCAGGTACATTGTATCGCCATAAGCAGGTGCATAGTGACAGTAGGCCATATCGTTGCACACAGTGTAACAAATCATACAAGCTGAAAGGCCATCTCACTGTGCATGTCAAATCTCACACAATATAGTCCGCTGTCATTTTTGTGGTTTTGTTTATGATTAGAGTACCATATTTATGCTGTGATTGTCAGCTAACTAAACTGTGATTGTCCATTACTGTAGAAGTTGAGCTGTGATTGGTATTTGTTGAGAAAATGTTGATGGGTGTGTGCCTGCATCACTGGTGCTCTTCTCTTATACATCAGGCAGACTTAAGTAAGAATTTTTGTCACTTTGGAAAGTCCTCAGGAATTGGAGTTTTCTTGTCTTTGCTTTTTATTTTCATTTTCCATGTTTTTTTCAACTTTTCATGCCATGGGGACCAATTGGGAGGTGCTGCTTTAGGCTTGCATAGGTCACTAGAGTGTTGGATAGATTCCCAACCCTTTTGAAACTATGCCATAGATTTGTAAATATTATATTCCTGGGCAAGAAATTTTGGTCACCTGTGAAGTTTTCCTTTCTATTTTGATTTCTTATTTCGCTTTTCTCATTTTTCTTTGTATAGTAATTTACTACTTTTTGCTTTCCATTTTCATCATCTTAGAGGTATGTTGAGAAAGGGAGAAAATAAGTTACCTGTATCAAACCTACTTAAAGTAAAAATCTGATAGGTTGAAGAGAGAATGCTCAAGATCTCAGTCTAAGAGCTGATGTTAGTGCACTAGTGAACAGGCTGTCACCATACAGCAGTCAGGGAGGCCATATTTGATGTGGTCATTGATAGAGGATCTGTGATGGTTATGGTTACCGTTAAGGTTTAAATCTTCGGCCAACACCATGGCGATGTAGGCCTGTGGCCTGTGATAATGTTCCACAAATTTTGCTGTGAAGAGAGTAAGTCATAAGAGGTTGAAGCAGGATTGTGATAGTTAGTGTATTGCTGGCTAACAAAAGTATCTTTTAAAATAATGGCCATATTCTATTAAACAAGTCAAAGCTGTTGTTTTCCAGCATTAAGTATTCCATTCAGGTTAAATTTGGGAGGTTTTTTAAAAAAAAAATCTTCTTCTTGTAACATAAACCTAGTGATCTAGCTCGAAGAATTCATGGGAAGCTAACGAGATGAAATTTTACAACATGACGTTGTATGCACTTTGCGTATCAGATATTTATAAATTTATACCATAATGTTTCTATGTACATTGAACTGTTTTTGTTGGTATTTTTTTTTTTTTTTTTTTTTAAGGTGTTTTTCAATTGTGTGACAAGGGAGATTCCCTTTACTGGTCATTTTTGAGCTTTTCTTCTTTTTCAGTAGTAGTTCAATTTTAATATAAAATCCAAGAGGGAACAGTGTCAAAGTCTTTTTGACATGATGGGTATGGGATTGAAAAAAAATCTTTTAATAGCAAAGACTGGTGTGAATTATACACAGAGTACATTTTAATATGGGGCTAAACTGTTTGCTCATTTGACATAATATTTCAGTCTTTCTGATATAATATGTGGCCAAACTTTCTCTGACTAATTTGAACACCATACAAGTTTTTTGGCTCATGTGTGAAGTACCTAGGCTTGTTGGAATAGTTTGAAATTAACATTAATGTAATAACTATGTCATTGAAGATTATTAGCTTTCACTTTGTAAGCTATCATTCTACCTTGAAGGGTACGCTGTCAGTTAGCAATATTTTACCAAAATAGCTTGTTGAGTGAACGCCTCACCGGTTTTTATTTTCTAATAGGTTTTTAAACAAATGTAGAAAGTTTTACTGAATCTGGTATGCCACTCAATCTACTGTTCTGGAAAATTAGTACTGATTGAAACCAAAATATGAAATATAAAAACAAAAACTAAATTTCTCAATAAAAAAGACAATTATATTGGGTATATATCAACAGTTATGGACAAGATCTTGGTCAAGAT